AGAGAGAGAGAGAGAGAGAGAGAGAGAGAGAGAGAGAGAGAGAGAGAGCTAAATATGATACTATGTTCTTCATGTCAGAGTAAATTTCTTGCTCTCTCTTCAAATCAACATTCTAGCTAGCATTGTCTGACTTGTAAACACAGAGAGGAATGTGGTGATATTGTGCCCCCCAATATATTGTGCATCCTAATAAACTTATCTGGCATCAGAGAACAGAACAGCCACTAGATGAACATAGAGGCCAGAAAATGATGGCACACAACTTCCTTTAATCCTATCACTTGGGAGGCAGAGATCCATCCGGATCTCTGTGAGTTCAAGGCTACACTGGAAACAGTCAGGTAAGGTGACACACACTTTTAATCCTAGGAAGTGATTGGAAAGGTATACAAGGTTTGAGGACCAGGAACTAGAGGCATTTAAGCTTTTAGACTTTAAGCAGCAGTTCAGCAGAGATCCATTTAGATGAGGACTCAGAGGCTTCCAGTTTGAGGAAACAGGATCAGCTGAGAAGTTGGCGAGGTAAGGTTAGCTGTGGCTTGTTCTGTCTCTCTGATCTTCCAGAATTCACCCCAATACCTGGCTTCTGGGTTTGTTTTTATTAATAAGACCTTTTACGATTCATGTTACAGAGGAGCCTCTGCAAATTCATGCCTGCTCTTTTCTGACTCAGGAAAGCTTTCACTCTGTGCCTCCCAATTCTCCACAAGAGATGATGCTGGAAAGTCAGAGTTCCTTGCTCTGAGTGTCCTCTAGTTAAAGAAGGGCTGACAGACAGAGTACAAGGGATTTACAGCATCCTTCTCGAGGTCATTTCTCTAGCCCAGGATTTAGTTAATTTGTCTTTTCTATTGCTTCCTTTGTGCTAGATGCAATATTTCATAAATGCAACCTAAGACTGTGCTAGGCTACTTTTCTAACAGCCACATCATGCAATTGGCTAATGCTATGGCTGTCATCAAGTGGAAATCCCAGAGTTTTGCCATCTGTGCCGTGGCCAAGCCAGCTAGCTCACTCTCATGCAGCTGACTTCTGAACCTAAACAGAACCTGAAACTTGGTTGGTTCTGTTTTATGTCATTTCATTTGTTTCTGCCCAGTGTGTCTCTGGTGGTTGAGATCATCTTTATCCTTGGGTTTGTCACTTAAAAATTTTTTTGTTTGGTTTTAAAATTTTATTTTTGTGTGTTTCATACATGACCATTGCATCTACATTACACTCTCCCATCCTCCTCCACTCCAATGCTTCCCTTCTAAATTCATGATATCTTCTTTATTATTGTTATATACACATGTGTGTATTTAAGTAAGACTATAAAGTAATTTACATATGGCTTTATCAAACCTGTGTTGTCTCCTTCCCTCTTTGTCACTTAAAGTTTTAACTGTGAATCCCATCTATGCACTTCATCTCTAAAGTTCTATCAAAATTATTCATAGACATATTGAGATGGCAGAATTAAGGGTGTAGCCTAGCCCAATGTCATAAGAACACTACAGAGTTCCTTAGCAAGTGTTTAAGACCCCAAGTATAAACATCACCATTGTTTGATCCAAATGCTATCAGATGCATAGACATAATTAAAATAACTAAGAAGCATTTTATCAATATCATGGTATGTATGTTAGAGTTTATAACAAAATGAGAAAGCAGATAAATTAACAAGGTTTGTTTTGCATGGAAATAGGATAACTTCTAGAAGATAATTATTTTTAACTATCTTCAAAGGCTTTAAATCATGTGCTTAATAATCCCTTCTGTAATATTGTGTTACATTAAAAAATTAGACAACCACTGTGTTGTCAGGCAAAAATCAATACTTTAATGCATACCATAAAATATTAAGTTTGTTGTATATTACTCTTCTAAATTACATAAAATGATAATAAAAGCTCTCCAAAAAGACACTAATCCCCAATTTAAGGTTTCACTGTTATCTTGAAAGTCCATACATTATTTTCTTAGTTCAGACTTATACAATAAATTTTGTTTTCTGATATTTCTTAAAATACTAATAAATACATACATGCTTAATGAATAAAAAGATATGAATTATCATATTATTCTGTTTTATTTTCTTCCTACCAAAAACTTTTCTATGGTGTACATTAACTAGTCATTCTGTTTGCAGTTTTCCGTTTATTCCAGCTCCTATGTGTAGAACTTGTCTACCTCTCTTGAAGCTGTTCTCACCCACAACAAAGCCCAGGGCTGCAGCTACTCTAAAGAGATGTTCCATGTGGTGTAAGATTTCTTCCATTTTATTTTTCAGTTGCACTTATCTTTACTTATTTGTGGGTAGTGTTGTAACTGAGTACATGTGTACAGAATTTAATGATCTAATAAGGATAATTACCATCTCTGCCTCCTCAAGTAGAATCATTTCTGTGTGTTGGAATCTTGGAACCCTGCTCTTGTAGTCATCTTGAAATGTATAATTAGCTGTTCTCTACCACATCTGTCCTGGATTACTATGCAAAAAAAAAAAAAAAAAAAAATGACTTACTTACTGCCCATCTGTGTTTTGATACCCATTATCTACCCTACCGACCTTCTTACACTTGTTATTATCTTTGTGATTCTTTTTTTTCAATTTTTCATTAATGTGTGATAACATGAGAACAAGATACATAAAATCGTCTCAGGACTTTCGAGGATGCAGAAAAGTTGAAAGCTACTCATTTAAGGAAGACCCACTTGTATGTTCTTTTCTGACTTCTCTTCCTTGGCCAATTCCTGAGAAGTCTATCATCTTCCCTCTAAGTTAGAGAGCCCCTTGCTCACTGCCCATGGCCAATGAACACTTTTAAGCATTATTATTTGCTTCATTATGATTTGTCATCTGTCCCTCTAAAAGACTGAGCTTGCATGTTTGTGGATAAAATAAGGCTTTGCTCCCCCTCTCCTCTCTTTTTGTGGCAGTCCTGGTGACCACCCCAGCCTTTATTGTGTGTCAGTTCAGTTGAATACACAGAAGGTAAGCCATTTTCTTTCTGGTATTTCTACACAATCTCAGTCCACTCTTAAAAGCTGAAGACAAATGTCATTGTTATCTCTTTGTTATTCCCATAAAGTATGCAGTACTCTTCAATCAACATGGTTGCCAAAATTTAAAATTAACAAAGAGGTAGAATTAAAATAGTTGACTATGCTATAAGTAGAAAGGGCAACAGGCTCATGCACAGCCCCCAAAGCACAGGCATTGTCAATTCCATCCAGAGACCAGGCAGGGAAATACAGTATTTCAGTCCATCTTGTGCTTTTAACTGGAGAGAGGAATCTCACCTTCTCCATGATTCCCTAGGAAGCAAGCACACTTTTCCAAAGAGAAAATTAATTTTCACCAGAAACAACAAGTGTAATCTAAACAGGAGCAAACAATCTCCTTCTCTTTATAGTGACCCCAACCCTGCCTTTTGTGAAAAACAAATTAATAAATAACCTCAGCATGGGGCGTCAACACACATCTGACCCCTTGAAGACTTGGCGGATGTTCAGGAGCCACCACAGCAGTAGAAAAGAAGTCCTTTCTTAGCCATCTGGACTGACGCTTTCAGATTCCTCCATTTCTGCCCCTATAGGAAGGGGAGGGGAGGCTCAATTTATTCACATCATCAGAGAAATTCTATAGCTCCATGGGTATTGAAAGGAAAGAAAGCTCTGCATGTCACCAGTGGTCAACACTCAACGCACATAGCAGTTACCTGGGGGTCTTGTTAAATGCAAATTTTGAGCCTCCTGTGGGAACAGAGACTCTGCATTTCTAACAGGCTCCCAGTAGATGCTCCTGGTGCCAGTCCATGGGGCTCTCTCTGAGTATCCAGGATACAGATATGTATAGAAAAATAAGAAGGACCGCTAAGCACTTTTCATCTCTCCTCCTTAATCCTATGCTTATTTGCAGGACTAAATTAGTTTTCTCTAATAGTTCATAATAATCAATCAGATAATTCTCTTGTTCTTATGCTTTCTATTCCATTTGCTTTTGTGATGTAAAAATCTCCTCTAAACTACTTTAGACTACAAGGTGGTTTGGTGGAGAGAGAAAAAAGCCTGAAAGGAGAAAACATTCAGAAGATGCATTTTATTTTAAGCAAGCATTACTCTGTGTGTGTGTGTGTGCACGCGCGCAACTCCCACCCCCATTAAGTTATATCAGCCCCAAATCCTAAACACCACAAAATATAATTAAACTTCCTTTACCAACCAGACTAAATATTGCTCAAATAATAGGTAGTCTTCTAGAATTGTTATAAAACACACAAGGCATAATACTTGCAATACCTAAATGACTTGTGCCTGGTGGGATTGTATTTACATGTTAGTTGGCAGTTTACTGAGCTATGTTTCTTTAATTTACTCTATTATTCTAGCCTTTGGGACACAAGAAATCCAATATGCTCATTTGAAATGTGTTGCTTCTTAGTGTGGAGTATAAAATTCTATCTGTAGTCTAATTGGCTGTACAGACTTTTCAGATTTACCTTCAAAGTTCTATTTTTTCAGAGCATGATTGGCAAGGTGAGCACTTGGCATTCTTATCTGCCCTTTAAACCAGCTGAAGGATCTTCCTGAGTTCCATGAGGTAACACCTGCTTTAGGTAAAAATCACTGAGACACTTTGAAAAGTAATTTTTACTAAATTATTATTATTACTATTTTATATATATAAATATTTTACCTCTGTGTATGTCTGTGTAAACATGTGTTCCTTGTGCCTGAGGAGGCCAGAATATGGAGTCAGGTACCCCAGAACTGAAGTTACAGATGTTGGGAGCAGCAGTGTGGGTGCTGGGAACTGAACCCAGGTCTGCCAGAAGGGTAACCAGTGCTCTTAAACACTAAACTATCTCTCCAGCCCCCAATTCTTATTCTTCAAAAGTGTGTTATGATAAAACTATTTTTCTTAGTTGATTCACATTTGGACACAAAGAAAATACATTCATAAGCTGTTGTGAAGGAGATTCGGAAGGCTGGAGGATGGCACATTGCTTCAACACACATGATGCTTTTCCAGGAAACATGAGTTCAGCAGGAAGAGAAAGAAAAGGAGACAGGAGAAGCAGAGGAACTCTAGGGGTGAGGGAGAATGTAAAATAAGACCGTTTCTATTGCCTTCATGGTATCAGCCAGTCTAACCACACACTATTTCCAAACCATGCCCACCCCAGAATAAATAAACATAAGAATGACATTGCAGCTTGGCTGCCTGAGGTTCAAAGTACTGACTCCTTCCCAGGAGTCACCATCACCACAATCTTTACCTTGGAAGTGACATCTAAAGTGGTTATGCCAATGCCTTCATACAGCTTATGTTGAAATTTTTGTCTAACTCCATGGTAACCATGACAAAGTCTATTTCAATACTCACCATTATAATGAACATAAAGAACTCCTGACATAATTGTTTGCCAACAAAAATGAAATTGCCTAATTCTAGTGCCTATTGTTCTGTTGGACCTTGGAAACCCATCATAATGTACAAAAATTCAGAAACTATGACTTCAATTACACCCTAGAATTACACTATGGTTTAACAGGGTGGTTTCCATTTGCCTGGAAATTAAAAGATGTGGATTCCTCTCCTGCTCTGTTGCCCACTGTTTGTGTTTGATAAAATAATCAAACTTCCCAAGCCTTAGTTTAATCTACAAAATGAGATCTGTTTTGTATCAATATATCTGAAGTACTTTTCATCAAAATATATAAATTATTAGCTTGTATTTTTTAAGCAAATGAAAACCTTGTGTCTCTCCTCACTTATCCACAGCCTTTGTCTGACAATTTTTTTCTTGTCCTGACAGTTCCAGGGAAACTTCCACCAGTCAGTCTAACTCACTATGAAGCTGCAAACTACAGGTCCTGGACAAAGGACATTCTAACAGTCCACAAATGCCATCAATTGGTTGTTAGCCAGCAATGTTTACTGACAAAACCATAAAGACAAAATACTCTACAACACTGATTGACTTCAGCACCTTGCAGAGAGCTCACTAGTGGGGGCCTTCCTTTAAGCTTGCAGGTAATACATTCGAGGTGTACTGTGAGCCCACTCTCTAAGCGCTGTTTGGCACTTGAAGTGCTGTGTAAGCATTTGAAAGGATACACAAACATGCCTGACAAGAAAGGTAGGGTGCTTTAGATCACTGGAGACTTAACTTTGAGAACATGCCTCTAGCAGTTTTAGAATGTGGATACCCTTGAGGAAGGTCTGCAAGAATAGAAGACCTAGAACAATGAGGATAAACTGTAACTAATATTTAGCTCCTCTAAGTTACTCTACTTTTACTGCATATATTAAGACATGAGCTCCCATGTGTCTGCTGCTGTTAAGTGTGAAAATATGATCCCACCCCAGAAAGAAGGAAATGGTGTTTATTGGCTGGGATTGACAGCTCTTCAGAAAAATCAGTCTATATTTTGATCTTCTCTAAATAGTGAAGGGATGAGGGGTCTCTTAGGAGAACTTACAGTCATGCTTTCCCAAGGAACATTACACAGCCAAGCTCCTTTCCCTCATGCTCAGCACATTTGTTTCTGTTTTTCTTTTTCCTTTCCTACTAATTCTTGTCCTTTTTTTTGTAATACAGATAATTGATTGACACAAGCTTGGATTTTAGTTATGCTTAGAACTAGATAAATGTTTGAAAAGCAATCTAAAAGAGAAGAGTGAGTGAACTGAGTTGGGTAATTAGATAGACCAGTCTAGCTAGCATAAAGAGAAGTATAACAAGTGAGAGAAGACTAGAAATTCAAGATGACAGCAGACCAGTGATATTTCCAAAGGCCCGCAGGGCATCTGGTCCTATCTGGATGATGATGAAACATCTAGGATTTCTTCATATACTGAATTTTTTAAAAAATTGTTCATACTATATGTACTCAGATATGAAGGAGTCACACTGTAATTTATGTTTAATACAAACATTTGTGATCAAGTTCTATACTTGTCACATTTCCATTACTTCAAGAAAGACCTGAGATACATCAACTTATAATGATAAATAGTTTACTTGGCTCATAGATTTTGGGGGGTGGTCTATGTTAAGAACATTTATCTTGGTGTAAAATGGCACACCTCACAGAAAGGAAGCAATATAAAAAGAAGAAACTGTTGTTTCACAGTGCCCTGTAAGGACTTTCTCCTAATAACCTAAAGACCTCTATGGGACTTTACTGTGGAATTTCTACCATTTCTCAATGATACCAAAGCAGAGGACGATGCTTTTAATACAGAGGCACTGGGGGATACCTATGATCCACATTATGGCAAATATCCAAGGAATCTTATATTCCTCTCCAGTGCACAGAAGTAAGGCTCCAAGAGGGAAATAATTAAGGCATATTCAAAGAAAGATAACTGAGAGAATGAGGACTTATCTATGAATAATGGAAAAGGTAAGGTAAAGACAGCAATGAGCTCTTCAATTCACAAAGTACCTTTCCTCAGGGATAGAGTTCAGCTTTCATATAACTAGCAAGTCAATATTGGCAATAGCTCAGCCACTAAAGCAATATCCAGTAAGCTACCGAAACCACAGAGAACTTTGAAACACAGTGTCTGGGTTTCAGAGTTATTCCCAAGAAATGTCCGTAGTCTTCCCCTAACACCTCCTTCTGTGAGGAATGGAAACAAGGAACAAGTGGACACCCTAGCTGAGTCATAACATCTGGTGAGGACTTTTCTGCTGTCAAAGAACCCGAGAGATGCTCAAAAGTGCTGTTGGATTCCAAGAGAAGCTTTTCCTGCAGGAAGGTGAGTGAGCCTCGAATTTCCAACTCAGGCAGACTATGTCTCTGAGAAGGAAGGAAAGGCTGTCCGCACTTGCACAGGCAGGTGTTTTTAAAGCAGAGAACACGCACAGGACCGCACAGCCTCTAGTGTGATGGGTTTTGGTTCCCCTGAGTGAAATGTTCAGGGATGCTGTTTGGCCCTGAAGCCTTCATCAGAACTTGGGTTCCCTCCCTTGCCGCTTGCTTCAGTTCAGTGTTTTGCTTGAATCTGAGTCATAAGCTCCTTAAGCTGGCAGGAAACCGAGAGTCGGGCTGGCAGTTCCCTCTCCCCCAAGCAGAGGGAGTGTCTTGGCTGACACCTCAGCAACCTTTTCCATCCCAGACAAGTAACAGAACCAATGGATGTTAGCAGAATGGAGGCCGGGCTGCATTCACAGAGTAGGAGAAAAGAAAACCCATCCTGGAGAAATGCATTAGCCAAAACCATGGTTCGGGGAAAATAGTTCATAGAATTACCTCAGCCATCCGCCAAATCCTTTAAATGGTTTGTGTTATCCCCCTAAGCCATCTCTGGTCAAGCTTTCACCCTATCCCCACAGGTTGCTGCCATTCTTCTTCCAGTGTCTAATTGACCCTTCTCTCTAGCAATACTCATCATTATTATATTTCTCCTAAAATGCAGCTACTCTAGAAGTTAAGTCCACACTCTCAGGGCTCACCTTACCCATACTGTCCATCTGAATGAATCAGGAAAACACTTCTTTTCTCCAATTCCAGTAAAATCCCTACTTGACTTTGTTAGGAACAGAGAAGATATGACCAGAGAGAGGGGACAAAATTA